AATTCTCACAGACTCAGGTGAGACCCAGGTAATCCAAGCAGCAGAAGGACAATGTGGCAATGATATAACTCGCCCAATAATTATTGAAAATAATGCCAATGCAGAATGTAAAAGAGTTATCAAAGCCGTAGGGAAAGAAAAACCCACAGTGCCTGAAATGATTGATGCCTGTAACAAAACTGGGAGTCCACAGCAAGTGGCAACTATCCAGGCAAATCAACTTGGAAAAACTCTAGGAGAAAAAATGGAAAGGGCTCTTACAGCTCAAACAGCACAAACAGAGGCTTTACCTGTAAATCAACCAAAGACGAATGCCTGGGTTGCTTTAGCCAGGTCTGCAGGCTCCCATACCATCTGTCTGTCTGACACAAGCCCTGACAAACCCTTTCCAACCTGTCCAGTTGGAGTTCCTTTCCCAAAAGGGTTTGATAATGTTACTCCTGATAAATATTGGCCATATGATGATCATCATGTATCTCCAACTCCCAGCCAGAAACACCAAACTTATACTGATTATATAAGTTTTTATATTATATATTATTGATTATATTGATAATTCTAAAGCTGATCAATCTGACCTCCAAGAGCTAGAAGTCCCAGGCTCATAAACCATGGATATCTGTTACTTCTGTCATTTCCTAGCAAAGATGGCTCTGATTTCACACAGCTTATGGCAATGTGACTCCTTGGTGTAATCAAACCAAGCTTCTCATGTATGGCCAACCTCACGTGTAATTACTGCTCCCTGCCCACTGAAAACTTCACGCTCCCACCATGTTGAGCTGAGCCTTGACACAGGTGTAATAATTAGAGGGTAATAATAATAATAATAATAATAATAATAATAATAATAATAATAATAATAATAATAATAGTAAGTGGGAGGTGGGATGAGATGCGCTCTGAGCTCCCTTCCCAACCCAAACCACTCCAGGATTATCCAGGGTGGATACCCCTGAGGCCCAGGGAGGTTAAAGGATCCTGCAGGAACTCCCCTGCACTGACCACCAGATCCCACACACGTTTGGGCAGGCAGTTTTGTACAGAATAAATATCACACTCCAATTTCATGGTAACTTAGGAGGGTTTGCTGGCAAATACCATGGCTTTTACATGGTTCTACCAATTACTGAGTAATTACATGTCACCCAGATCTGGAGGACACAGCAGCCTTGTAATGTATTCCTCTCTGCTAGACAAGAAGGCAGTTAATAGAAAACGCTCTCTATTTTTATTATTATTTTAAACTATAAACCCCTCCACAATATTCCTGTGTGCCATTATTAAAACTCCACGTCGATATCAAACCCAAAGCAAAGGCTGCCATCCCTTTAACACATCACTTGTGGGATGATTGATAAAAATTTACCTTAAACTGCACCATATGTTGCTCCCCACAAAGTTTTATTATTCAGATTCATCAGTTTGTACCTCAACCCCCGTGCAATTAAATCCCATTTAGCAGCACTGACCTTCTGATGTGAACCCTTCATTCCTGCAGCTGGTTTGGAGTTCTAACAGCACTTTTAAATAAGGAAAATGCAAAATGTCTGGGAATTAATGGAGGGGTGGGGGGAGCATTCCATGGGGCAATCCATGGAAAAAAAATAAAGGGAAAAAAGCCCCAAAGAGTGCCAGCCCGTTTTCCCGTGTTGCAGCCTATTTGTAAACATCGTTAATCACGGATTAGCAGATGGTGATGTTAATTGCACCTGTGGAAGGAACAAGACCTCAAGGTTGATTACATTCACAAACCAGGATCGGGGCTGTGCGTTCTGGGGGTGCCCCGTGGGCAGCAATCCCAGCTCCTGCAGCAATCCCAGCTCCATCTCCAGCCCCAGCAGCAATCCCAGCCCCTGCAGCATTCCCAGCTCCATCTCCAGCCCCAGCAGCAATCCCAGTCCCAGTGTGAGCAGCAATTCCATCTCCAGCAGCATTCCCAATCCCAGCCCCAGCCCCTGCAGCATTCCCTACCTCCAGCCTGGCCTTGTTCCCTGCCCCAGAGCCATTCCAGCCTCCAAAACATCACTGGGAGCCAGCACTGAACTGGGTGGAATGGGATCTCTCCAGTTGGATTGGTTGGAATGGGATTTCTCCAGTTGGATTGAGGGAAATGGGATTTCTCCAGTTGGATTATGGGGAATGGAATTTCTCCAGTTGGATTGGGTGGAATGGGATTTCTCCAGTTGTTGGATGGGGTGGAATGGGATTTCTCCAGTTGGATTGAGGGAATGGGATTTCTCCAGTTGTTGGATTGGTTGGAATGGGATTTCTCCAATTGGATTGAGGGAATGGGATTTCTCCAGTTGGATTATGGGGAATGGGATTTCTCCATTTGTTGGATTGGGTGGAATGGGATCTCTCCAGTTGGATTGAGGGAATGGGATTTCTCCAGTTGTTGGATTGGGTGGAATGGGATTTTTCCAATTGCATTGGGTGGAATGGGATTTTTCCAGTTGGATTATGGGGAATGGGATTTCTCCAGCTGGACTGGGTGGAATGGGATTTCTCCAGTGGTGGGGACACCCTGAGCACAAAAGGGAAATGTGGGCAGGAGCTGAGCTGCTCTCCCAGCCAGACTCCCCAGGGTGGATTTTGGGAGATGGAAGATTTGCGTTTCCCCCTGGCTGAAGAGAAGGCAGTGCTGGTGCTGAACTCATCCTGTGAATCCAGGAGGACAAATATTTTGCCACTGTGCTTAGAGACACTTTGATTATTGAGAAATCATTCTGGAAGGGCAATTAGTAAATTTTAAAATCAATTTGGTAAATAAGCCTCTGAAAGGAATCCATGACAAGCAGCAGGGAGGGAAGAATTGACTTTCAAATTACACACACACACTTTATTCATATCTAAATATCAAAGAGACTCTATGTACAAACAGAAGTAATCAGGAAACGTGTTTTGATCTTCCTGATGTACACAAGAAATGACAATTAATGTCCCCCTTTATGATATAAAGCTGGGAGTTTTTTACAGTTACATTACAGGGACGATTATAGTCAAGCTTAGGGCTAAAAATAATGAAAGACTATAAAAACTACATTTTAACATTTAAAAATATCCAGGAAATTAACTGGAGAAGCAGGCAATGATCCAATTAATGGATTGCATTTATTAGATCAGGGGCAAATGGCACAGCACAGAGCTCCAGCACCAAAGGTGGGAGAGAGCAGAGATTCCTGAGCTCCTCAGAGCCTCAGGATGGGGCTGGGGCAGGAGGACAAAGCATCAGCTCCATCCAAAAGGCACTGCAAGGTGGGGAAAATGGGGCTAAAACTTACCAGAGAGGGAAATGGGATCAGAGGGAACAGCAGAGCCATCCAGAGGGGGATTCAGTGCCCTCACAAGCAGCAAAGTCCAAGTTATGCACTCAGATCCTGAAATTCAAGCTCAAGCAACCCCCAAAAGCCTTGTCTGACACCCCAGTGCCAAAGCAAGGTGTTCCATGGGTACAGGAGCGGGAATTCACAGGACAGTGGAGATGGAGGCGGCCAAGCAGGAGCTTCTCCTCCCACTCCAGGGCACAGAGAGGTCCCAAAGGGGTTTGGGAGCCTTCCAGGAGCAGAGGAGCTGCTGCAGGGCTCCCCTGGTTGGAGGGGCTGAGCAGCTGGCCAGGCACAGCCTGACAGAGCCAGGAGTGCCTCCCCACTGCTGAGAAAGCCTAAAACACAGAAACAAACAGGGAGAAACAGCAGCTCCTGTGAGATGGGAAATAAATGCACTTAGCTGTAGGTGAGGGATGGAGAAATGGCTTCACCCTGATCCCTGCTGCTCCAGAGGAAGGATTCAGTCAGCCCAGTGCTGGATCCTGGAATGTTTGCTCTGGAAATGAGCAAATCTGAGCCACGGGCCCCCTCTGCTGGGGCACCCTGGGCTGCTGAGCAGCTCCTCTGGGCCTGCAGCCTTTCCCTCTCAGCTTTAAAGCAAAAAAAGGCAAATTCAGCCCCCAGACTGCACCAGCTCAGCCCACAAGGCAGCAGCTCAGGGCTCTCCTGCTCCCTGTGGGTTTGGTCACACAGCCCTGTTTGGATGATGGGGTCACTTCAGAGGGGTTTGGGATTTGTCCTTCTCCTCAGGACACACCCCAGGCACCCTCCTCTCCCTCACAGCCACAGAAGGGAGCCCTGGACACCCTCCAGGAGCTCCTGTCCCCATCCCGGACACCTGCAGTGTCCCCAGTGCCACCAGGGACACAGAAAACACCCCCACACCCCCAGACCAGGGCTTACAGACTTCATTTAGCTCAAAGAAAAGTCCTAATTAGTCACTCAGAGTGATTTACTTATTCATTTGGAAGTGGGGAGGGGGCAGGCTGAACGGAATTGTTTGAAATTATCCCTAAAGGGCACTGTAAATTAAGTGTTAATGAGGAATCCTATGCACAGGGCGGTGGTAGCTAAATAAAATAATTAAGGTGCTAAGTGATAACATTCTTTTGGCTCTCAATAATTTAGCCAGCCTGGATTTTCAAGCAGGAGAGCTGCAAATAAAAGGACCCCAGTGCCACCAGCAGGACAGTGGTCCTGGGGCACCTCACCCCCAGCAGGATCAGCCCAGCTTGGAAAGGAAACTTCCCCAGAAGGAACCGAGCTCCAGATCCCTCTTCCCACCCGAAGGACCAATCACACTCTGCATTTACACAACACAAAATGGATTAATTCGAGTCTACAACCAATCTTTACAAAAGCTTTATTTCCACGGGCTCCATTTCTCCCCCACTCCAGATGTTTGCCAGCCCTTGGCAGGGCTGCACACCTGGTTTACAACCAAATACAGAAAATTCAGCTCCAGCGGCTCCCAGGCACAGCTGGGAAGGGCACAGGGCTCTTTCACCCACAGCCCAAACTGTCCCCACAGTCCAAGGGATGCACAAAGTCCCCAGGGCACAGGTGCTGGAGCCACCCCTGGGTGTTCTCCTGCTCCCAGACCTGCCTGCCTTCCCTCAGCTGCTCCTCCCAGCTGTTACCCACAACATCAGGGCTCTGCCCTGGGTGTTGAGTCAGGGGTCTGGTGGCTTCTGCAGCAGCCAAAATGCAGCTCAGGTCTCTGGGCTCTCCCTGGAACTCACACTGATGGTGGAGACCCTGGGAAGAGCATTTCCAAACCCACACTGAGCAGCTTCCTCCACCAAATAAAGAGGATTTCAATCTCCATGCCTCCGTTTCTGGCTGCAGATGGAGTGCAGGAGGATACCTGTAGGAAAGCAAATATAAATAAATATTATAAAATAAAAATTAAGGGATTTTAATTTTTTTCCAGACCACAAGAAAACCATTCAGTGGGCCTGGATGTTAAGTGCAGAAGCTGAGGGGTTGGTACCTGGTGCCCAGAAGTGCTCTCACCTGCAGCCACGGAGACGTTGAGGGAGTCGATGCCAGGGTGCAGCGCCCTGCCAGGGGGGATGGCCAACATCTGCTGGCACTGCAGCTGGGTCTGCAGGGAAATGCCCTCCCCTTCACTGCCTGCAGGACACACACACTGCTCAGCTCAGCCCAGCACCTCCTTCCCCTCCCCAGTGCAGTTCCTGTCTCAGTTCTCTGTGTGTGACACCCTCCCCAAGCTCAGCCACCTCAGCAGCTCCACACAGCTGAGCCCCAGAGGGAGCCTGGCACCTTCCTCCCTGTGTAGCCCCACATTTCACACAGAAAAGCAAGGCACAATTCTTCCCAAGAATATTGCTGGGTTTCACAATCTCTGAACATCAAAGAAAGAAAACACAATTCTTATCATTGGCTATGCCTGTGTTTGTGCCACAGGAGAATGCAACATGGAGATTGTTCACCCACAGTGATGGGGCTTTGGTTCCTTGGCCTGTCAGGGCCAGGTGTGTGTATGTGTGTGTGTCAGGACTGTTGGGTGACAGTCACAAGATTCAGTGCAATGTGTGCAGGGCTGAGTGCTTGGCAGATTCAGTTTAGATGTATAGAATAATACAGTATAATAAAGTAATTCTTTAGCCTTCTGATATCAATGGAGTCTCCTCATCATTCCTTCTCAGTGCAGCTTTATCCCTGGATCTGCTCCCAAGCATCTGAAGTGGTTTTGAGGAATATCCACACAACACATCTGCACAGAGATGCCACAGAGAGCAGAGTGCCAGCAGAGAGCTCCCTGTGGGCACAGGGACAGGGCAGCCA